GCTCTAGGGATCTTCCTGCCTCAGCCTGCAGAATAGCTGGGACTACAGACACATGACACCATGCCTAATTAATTTTTTTTAATTTTTGTAGAGATGGGGTCTTGCTATGTTGCCTAGGCTGGTCTCGAACTCCTTGCCTCAAGCGATCCTCCTGCTGCAGCCTCCCAAAGTGCTGGGAGTACAGGTATGAGCCACCTCACCCAGCCTCTAGTGGGAACAGAAATATATCGGTGCCGGCTGGATGCGGTGGCTGGCCAGGTGTGGTGGCTCATGCCTGTAATCCCAGCATTTTGGAAGGCTAAGGTAGGCGGGCGGATCACTTGAGGTCAGGAGTCCAAGACCAGCCTGGCCAACATGTTGAAAGCCCATCTTTACTAAAAATACAAAAATTAGCCACGCGTGCCGGCGCATGCTTGTAAATCCAGCTACTTGGGAGGCTGAGGTGGGAAGACTGCTTGAACCCAGGAGGCAGAGGTTGCAATGAACCAAGATCACTGCACTCCAGCCTGGGCAACAGAGCAAGACTCCATCTCAAAAAACAAAACAAAACAAAAAGAAATATATGGATGCATGAGAGAGCAGCCTACTAGCCACAGAAACTTCAAAGCTCATGGGTATCTATATTTTTATAGGGTTAGTAAAGGAGCAAAATTGGTTAGTAGTAATCTGATTTTTAAAAAATTGTGGAGCAGGTCGAAGTGGGCTGCTTATATATAAAACACTTTGGCATCTAATAACTCTAACATGTATGCTATTGGGAGCCACTGAAGGTTTTTAATCAGGCAAATAACATAATCAGACGTATGTTTTAAGATTGCTTTTGTAGAAACATCACTAGATTAGAAGAGAAATTAGAGGCAGATAGAACAATGAAAAGATTATTGTACTACCCATCTCTTGCCTGAACTAGAAATACACAAAAAAAATTGATTTAAGTGATATTCAGAAGTAGAATGAATTATTCTTGCTAAAAATTTGAATTTGGGACAAGGGGACAAGGAACAGTTAAAGATGCCCTTGATGTTTCCAGCTCCAGTAACTGGGTGATAACAAGACGTAAAAAATACATAGAAGGTGCTCAGTACCTGGAGAATAAATGAATAAATCAAACAAAAATTTTGCTTCTCACATTAGATGTTTAACAGAAGTTTAACTCCTCCCACCAAGCCAGGTGATAACAACAAAGTTACAAACACAATATCCTTACAAAGTCAACTAGGTCATTAGAAAAGAAAATGAATTCAGGTCATGTGCGGTGGCTCACGCGTGTAATTCCAGCACTTTGGGAGGCCAAGGCGGGCGGATCACGAGGTCAAGAGATTGAGACCATCCTGGTCAACATGGTGAAATCCCGTCTCTACTAAAAACACAAAAATTATCTGGGCATGGTGGCGTGCACCTATAATCCCAGCTACTCGGGAGGCTGAGGCAGGAGAATCACTTGAACCCAGGAGGCAGAGGTTGCAGTGAGGTGAGATGGTGCCACTGCACTCCAGCCTGGCAACAGAGTGAGACTCTGGCTCAAAAAAAAAAAAAAAAAAAAAAAGAAAGAAAAGAAAAGAAAGGAAAAATATAATGAATTCAGTTTCAAGATGTCCAGTAAGCAGTTAAAAATATAACACTGCAGAAGAGGAGTGATGGAGATCCCATTAGTGGTTGCCAAGGGAATGGATGTGATTATCCAGAGAGAACATACAGAGTAGCAAGACAACTGAGGATACAGCTTTAGAGAATGCTGATATTTAAAGGGCAGATGAAAGAAGAGGAGCCAGCTGAGATTAAAACAGACTGAAATGGATGCAGGACAAGGAAAAGCAAAAGTAGGAATGATGTGATTTGGCTAAAGCAAAGGATCCAGACTTTTAAGATAAATCAGACTAAGAAGTTAGGAATCAATTTTGTGGCCAAAGATCTTCAAACATTGGAGGTCTGGAAGGCTCATACTCCAATTCTCCCCATTTGCCCCAACCACAGGTGCTGGTGTTCACTGCAGGGTACAGTTTGAAAATCTGTACCCCACAGATTTGGGGGAATAGTCATGGAGAGTTTCTGAATGGGAATTAACATGAATAGAGGTTGCATTAGGAAGACTAATCAGAAACCCACGTATAGGATCAATTGATAAAAAACTAGATTTTGCAAGCAACTAAGGAATCAATTTCAAAGATGGAAATGAGGACTTGAATTAAGATGTGGCAGTTAGCATGAGAAAAGCAGCTTCAACAAGACTTCACCAGCCTAAGGTGTTGGCCAGGCTTTTTGGTAGGAACTGCGACCCTTTTGGGAGTTTTTTGGGGGGTACAGGGTCAGTAACACAGAGGCACTGGTCTAATGAAGGATTAACTTGGCAATGGTAATTAGGATTGAATGGCAGGTAATATAGGAGATAGAAAAACAACAAAATTATTGTAGCTGCACAGGTGTGAAGCGATGAGAATTTGAAATAAAGTTTAGCAGTAGGCATTCCTTAGTGACATTCTACTGTCTTTTCCAGAATGGTACTTTCAGTTACTGACTGACTCAATTTCTGGTCATCCAGTTGGGAGATATGCCTGGGCATGTCAGGACAACAATTTAGGTCAAGATTCCCCAGCAAGCATCTATGATGCCCCAGTCTAGGCTGGCATCATACCAGGCTCTCACCTCTCATCCAGCCCCAATTCTACCACTTCTGTTTCTTTGCCTTTATGTCTCTTCTACTTCTGTAAAATATCTGCATGTTGTCATAGTCATACACTACTTGTAAGTATCATTTTCATCCCACAAAATCTGACAGAACAAATGGGATACTGGCCCAGGTGCAAGAACTTGGTTTTAAATTTAGCTCCACTACTGAGTCCTGGGCATGCCATTTAATGTTTTCTGGCCTAAACTTTACCTTGAAAATAGACTACGAATTAGATTAGCAATAGTTAACTCTGAGAAATTGACAAAAACTATGGACCCCTTTCTCAGAAGATTAACATCTGCACATAGAAAATCTACATACCACTTCAGACTTATAAAGCCCCTTCTAGTCTACCTATGGACTCTTTAACACAGTGGGGGGGTTTTGTTTTTGTTTTAATATGTGTACCAGGATCAGCTGAAGTACTTGTTAAAAATGCAGATCTCAAGAGATTTTGATTCACTATGTTTGGGGTGTGGGTCCAGCAATTTACATTTTTTACAAAATACTCCAAGTAACTGATACAGGTCTCCTATTAGGCACTCTGGCATCTAGAAAAACAAAGTGCTTCAGGCATCCCAGCATCTCAAGTTAAAAACTTTTGGAGCACTAAAATTCATTCTGAATCTAAAATTCTGTCTTTGCGGGTCTGTATCGAGATAGGAGTAATAAATAAAATTTAATATCCAGGTGTTATGCCTGAATCACTGCTGGTGTCATTAGCATAAACAGCAAAGTCTGAATTTTCCCCTTTGAGTAAGGAAGTTGGTACTAAACGCATTTGTTTAAAAACAGGAAGAAAAAGCTTGAGGGATATTTACAGTTAGTTACTAAATGCTTACAAAAATCAAGTCAAATAAAATAAAATCCCAAACCTGGAATCCACAACTTTCCAAAGAAATGTAGGGCCAAGCATGAATTTCTTGGGGGTGGAAACGTTTGTTTCCTCCAAATCTTCACAGTATTAAAACAAAGACACCACAGCAACAGGTTCCAGTAGTACAAAAAGCATTTCTCTTGTTCACAAACGACTTAGAAGTATTTGCAAAATGACAGTTTGCAAATTATATAGCAACAGCTTAAACTACCATACAATCCTAGAGTCTAACAAATTCTGGTTTATTTTAGGTACTTTTATCAGCATAAGATCTGTGGACAGGATGAACAACTTGGGCTTAAAAGCACTTACAACTTTCGTGGCACTTTGCATAAAGCATTTTACTTAATTCTCTGTGAACTATCACTTCCATTGTATAAAGGAAGAAAGTGACGCCAAGATTCAGTTAGTTAAGGAGCCGGGCCAGAGCAAAACCGGCCTCCTACCCTGATTTTTTCATTGGGAGGAGGTCATGAGGATTTCGTGTCCCCTTCTACGTGTCATCTTCACCCCATCCACCCGTGTCAATTTCCACACGCGTTCTCCATCCCAAATGGTATGCACCTCTCCAGCAGAGCCGCCACAGTCCTCTTTCCTTGCCTCAGTTTCCCTAGCCAGGGCTCCAAAACAGGGAAGGAAGGTGGGAGAGCGTGAGGCGGATAAACGCAGGGGTAAGTCTCACCCCGGCCTGAGGCCTCCAGGCGTCGTCCTTGGCTGGCTCCGGGGCAGAGCAGCGGAGCAGGACGCAAACTCAAAGTCAGCTCCTTCCTCCGCCCTCCCCGGGGACGGCCTCCTCGGCGCTCGCAACGACGAAGCCAGGCTGCGGCGAGGGAGGGCGGACAGGCCTGTCCTGACCGCGACGAATAACATTTCCTACAGCGGTCCTGCAACTTGCAATCTAACGGGCTGGCGTGACTGCGGGGAGGGGGAAGAAGCGACAGCAGCATTTACCTCATCCAGATCCAGCCCGGCCGCTTCCGGCCTTTCCGGGTCACCCATCGCGCAGACTCCGCCGAAGCTACAGGCGCTGAGGGAACTGAGCTAAGCAGGCTACCTCCAACTACGACAGTACGCAGGTGGTCCGCTGGTCCGCTGGGTCCGCCCCGCCCCCAGCGCTAGGGACCCGGCCGGCCCCGCCCCGCCGCGCCGGCCACGCTTTCTAGCCGGTCCATCGAGTGACTCTACCAGCGCCGGCCTGGCCCCGCCTCCCCCGCCTCGGGGCTCCGCCTAACCTCGGCCAGCCCCGCCTCCCCGCCTGCGGCCTAAGGGAATCTCCCAGCCTCGGCCCACCGGCTTCCCCAGCCTGCGGCCTAAGGGATCCTACCCGCCTCTGCCCGCCCTGCCTCCCCCCCTGCGGCCTTAGGGATTCTCCCAGTCTCGGCAGGCGCCGCCTCCCCTGCCTCGGGGTTCCGCCTATCCCGGCCAGCCACACTTCCCCGCCTGCGGCCTAAGGAAATCTCCCTGCCTCCGCTGGCCCCGCCTTACTCTATTGCACCGCCCAGTCGCCCGGCTTTCCCCTGAGGGACGCCGCCGGCTCTGAACGACCCAGCCTACTCCAGCTGGCCCCACCTCACCGCATCGGTCCCGCCTCCTCCGCTCGCCCGCTCCGGGAGCGCACTCTTGAGGAGCTCGCCTAGAGCCCTCGCGATCTCTTTTTACTGCGGGCCCCGTGAGGGAGTCGGCTCGCTGCCCACCCCGCCCGGTCCCACCTCGCCTCGCCCTCCCCGGGTTCTAGCCACCTGGTGCGGCAGGTGTCCTGCAGGTCGGCTCGAGATTCCCGAGCTCGCCCTCGTGGTGCACCAGGAACACGGTGCTTTGCGCTAGCCCGGCCTGTCCTGAGACACTGCGGGAGGCCAAGAGAACGCGCTGTTGCTGTGTGAGGCGCTGGGGACGGGGCAGCTACACCGCCAAACACTTCGGTAGGGAAAGGGCTGGCTGGTTTCGTGCGTACGCAACCGAAAAGGGGAAGTGGCTGGGGGAAAGTGTGTGTGTGAATGCGGGTGAGTGAGGGGGAGACGGACAAGTTACTAAAGTCAGGAAAACATTTTGAAAAAAAAATTTTTTTTGAAAAAAAAATAGTTTGGTCTAACAAAAATAAAATGGAAGAGAGATTTAAGTAGTTTGAAGCTGAAAGATTGACGGGATCTTGCCGTGACCTGAACAGCATGCACCTGTTTTGTGGATGGCTGAAGGATGGTAAATAGGATCAAGATCTCACTGTAAGCTTTGAGAATGCCGAAAGCTCTTTCTCAAACCTGCCATAGAGTGGGGGTAGACAGGCCTTCTTAAAGCAACTACTGGGGTCAAATGCTGAGTGAAATTTTTTTCATCTGTGAACTTTAATAGCCACATAGATTCTACTAAGCAACTGAGTCTCAATTTACTATAGGCCACTTGGCAAATAATCAGATTCATTCACTTAATGTCATCAAACAATATTGTGTGTCGGGCATCATGTTTAGGTATTCATGATACAAGCATGAATGAGTTTGGTGAAAAAGAATCATCATGGGCATGCATTCTAGTTCCCTCACTTGTTAGCCATGCTACCTTGGGTCAACCTCTGTGAGACTCAGCTTTCTCATCTACAGGATAAGAATAATAATCCCTTCCTCATAAGGTTGTTGTGTGAATTTAATAATATATTACTTGCTAAAACACTTATAGGGTGGGAAATTACCTTGATGCAATGCTAGCTTCCACGTATGAGTCAGGCCATCCCAGAGGGTCATGGAACTCGAGACCAGGAGTTCGAGACCAGCCTGACCAACATGGCAAAACCCCGTCTCTACTAAAAATACAAAAATTAGCCGGTCGTGGTGGTGCATGCCTATAATTCCAGCTACTTGAGAGGCCGAGGCAGGAGAATCGCTTGAATCCGGGAGGCAGAGGTTGCAGTGACCTTAGATCGTGCCATTGCACTCCTGCCTTGATGTCAAGAGCGAAACTCCGTCTCAAAAAACAAAATAAAACAAAAAAATTGTCCTTGGCTTTACAATCATAAATGAAATACATTACAGTTCTTAAACTGAAGAAGATATGCAAAAACTGTTATGGTGTTTTGTTTGTTTTATGTGTGGGTTGTTTTTTGTTGTTGTTGTTAAAACGGAGCAAAATAACTAAATAACTAATATAAAGATAAGACCTCAATGAGCATGGCACTAATGGAGAAGGGAGGAGTCTTCACAAAACCATATTTCTTCCCCCATCCTGTCTTCATTTGATGTGGATCAAAAGATAACATTGGCCATTTGGTTAAAAAATGCAATACGCTTTTATGCATTATAACTATGGCATATACAATATGCCATAAAGACTATATGAAGATGTAGAATTCTGTTACTCCTAGAGATCTTATAGTTACACATTTAATTGTTTACATAGTTACATTGTAACTAATATATACTTTACATACAATAAAGTAATGGGGAAGAGGAAAATGAAAGGATAGAGAAAATATAGTAGTCAGGGTGTGGTGGAACCAAATTGCAGTTTTCTAATTGAAAATGCATTCTTGGTACCTAAGAACAGAGTTCTGTATTAAGGTAGCAGACTCCTTTTTCAGTCAAGACCTCCTGTCCTTGGAACACATTAATTGTATCTTTAGCCTCCCTCTCCAACTTTACAGGTGTGTCTATTTCATTGATTGGTTGCACATGAAGTCTAGAATCTGATCAGCCTCATTGCCTAACCCTGTTCACAATAGGCTTTCATTAATTTACTAAGCAGTATATGCCTTTTTTTTTTTTTTTTTTCCAAAGATGGAGTCTCATTCTGTCACCCAGGCTGGAGTGCAGTGGTGGGATCTCGGCTCACCGCAGCCTCTGCCTCCCAGGTTCAAGTGATTCTCCTGCCTCAGCTTCCCGAGTAGCTGGGATTACAGGCGCCTGCCACCACACCCAGCTAATTTTTGTATTTTTTTAGTAGAAACGGAGTTTCACCATGTTGGCCAGGCTGATGTCGAACTCCCTACCTCAAGTGATCCGCCCGCTTTGGCATCCCAAAGTGCTGAGATTACAAGTGTGAGCTACTGCGCCCAGCTGGAATATGCCTTTTAATCTTAAACTGCACCACAGACCCATTCTGCCCTGCCACTTTCAAATTAATAGGATTGTTGTTCTCGATCTTGCCTCCTTCCTTGGGCTTTCCGTCAGCCAGTCTTCTTAGCTGCCACTTCACAAAATGGGTGTCAGTTCTGTGCCAAACAAGCATACAAGCTGTACCCTATTAAATCATTTTAAAACATAACAGCAAGGGGAAAGAGATTGAGTGGACTAACATATTTTGGTTAGGATGTGGGAAGGGGAAAGAGTGGAAGGATTATACCATCTGAATCTTAATGTTATTGTTCATGTACTGTTTGATGCATCAGCCTTCCTTGCTGGTGGAAGGACCATATGGTCACTATGAGGACCATAGTGAGGATGAGCAAGAGTGCTCAGCAGGTAGAAGGTGGAGCCAGCACACACTTTTCTTTTGGAGAACTGCTGCAACCTGACTCCAGTTATAACTGGATTTATAACCAGTTATTATAAACCTACTGAGCAGTTATGGATGGTATCTGTGTTTCTTGGACAGAGCACGTGTGGGGCCAGAGTGGATCTCACCAGTGAGTGGCTGATTTAGGGATAATGTAGTTGTCAGTCTGGCAGTAACATGATCATTCCCTTATGAATATTTAAGATTTACTTGGGGCTGGGCACGGTGGCTCACGCCTGTAATCCCAGCACTTTGGGAGGCCGAGGCTGGCAGATCACCTGAGGTCAGGAGTTCGAGACCAGCCTGACCAACGTGGAGAAACCCCGTCTCTACTAAAAATATAAAATTAGCCGGGCGTGGTGGTGCAAGCCTGTAATCCCAGCTACTCGGGAGGCTGAGGCAGGAGAATCGCTTGAACCTGGGAGGCAGAAGTTGTGATGAGCCACGATTGCGCCACTGCACTCCAGCCTGGGCAACAAGAGCGAAACTCCGTCTCAAAAAAAAAAAAAAAAAGATTTACTTGGTCTTTCCAGCCCTTTTAATCTAAAAACGGAACTCTCGTGTGTTCCATTATTTTTGTGTATGTTCAATACACATATGTTCTGTTCATCCTATTTTTAACATGCCTCACAGCATAATTATTTATTTATACATAATACATCTTACAAATTTCATTATGTCTAACAAGTCATTTGCTCCCATACTTAGTTTCTCTCAATTTCTATGGCAGAATTGAATATTCTTAAATAACATAGCAAAAACACACAACAGTACTTAGAATAGTGTAGTCTGGCTGAGTTTCCCCTAGGATGTTCAAAGTTATTGGGAGAGCAAATGAAAACAATAACATGTGTAACTGAAAGATCTCAAGGAGTAAGAGGATTCTGCATTTTCATATGGACTTTATGGCATGTTTTATTTTCCAAAAATGGCCATACACTATTTCTGGTACCATATGCTGTTCCAGAACTTGGATACACCTCCCATTAAAAGGTGATGTCTAATGCGCTTCCCTTTGCATATGGGCCATCAATACTAACTTTTTTTTGTTTGTTTGAGACGGAGTCTCGCTTGGGCGCCCAGCTGGAGTGCAGTGGCACAATCTCGGCTTACTATAACCTCCGCCTTCTGGATTCAAGCGTTTCTCCTGCCTCAGCCTCCTGAGTAGCTGGGATTACAGGCACGCACTACCACGTCTGGCTAATTTTTTGTATTTTTAGTAAAGACAGGGTTTCACCATGTTAGCAAGGGTCGTTTTGATCCCTTGACCTTGTGATCCGCCCGGTGACCCATTTCTCAAACTTGATGTCTCAACACCCCCGCCTTTTATTTTTTTTTGAGACAGAGTCTCGACTCTGTCGCCCAGACTGGAGTGCAGTAGCGTGATCTCAGCTCACTGCCATCTCCGCCTCCCAGATTCAAGGGGTTCTCCTGCCTCAGCCTCTGAGTAGCTGAGACTAGAGGCATGCGCCACTATGTCCAGCTAATTTTTGTATTTTTGTAGAGATGAGTTTTCACCATGTTGACCAGGCTGGTCTCAAATTCCTGACCTCAAGTGATGGACCTCCCCTGGTCTCCCAAAGTGCTGGAATTACGGGTGTGAGCCACCGTGCCTGGCCTCAACCCCTTTTAAATAAAAAAATTTTCACAGCCACTTTGATACTGACTTAAACTACATATGTATTGTTACTTACGTATGTACAAACCTAAGACCAGTAACAAACTCCTTACTCTTGGAGCTTTACACAACTAAAAGTAGATTTATAAATTAAATACAAACAAGACTATAGAAATGGTAAAATTCCACTTTGCAACCAAAAGCAATGAATAATGATGTTGCTTTGCTGAAACTATATTGCATCAGTGTGAATTTTATAGTGACCATTAATGAAGCATGTTTTTTTGCATCCTAGCCATGGGATAGATAACTTTTTCTATAACTCTTTTTATCAGTTGCCTTTCATAAGGAATAAATGTGTCATTTACATATTAAATTCCATTCTTTAAATTTTTGTCTATTTGACATAAGTGCCATCATAAATGGTCAACCAGGTAATTCAAGATACTGCATATATATTAAGAATCAAAATAAGATGCTTGTGGAAAATTGGCAGATCCTGAACCCTAGTTTGAAAACCACTAAACAGGTCTATATTTAATGAGCCATTCATTTATAATTCAGGAAGGCTTCCAGTGTGAAGGAAGGTGAGAATTTTGGAGTTAGGTTGGCTTAGAGCTAATTGGAATAGGCCAAGTGCGGATAAAGCAAGCTTGAAATAAGGCAGTGGTAGTGAGGAATGCAAGAAGAATCCGTGCATGTGAGTTAAGTAAATGTACTCAAGATGACTTGATCAGTGGTTGGATATGGACTTTAGGGTAGAGGGAGGATTCTAGGATGACTATAAGTTTCTTTTTTCCTTCTTTTTTTTTTTTTTTTTTTGAGATGTAGTTTTGTTCTTGTTGCCCAGGCTGGAGTATAATGGCACGATCTCGGCTCACTGCAACCTCCGCCTCCTGAGTTCAAGCAATTGTCCTGCCTCAGCCTCTCAAGTAGCTGGGATTACAGGCATGTGCCACCATGCCTGGCTAATTTTTGTATCTTTAGTAGAGATGAGATTTCTCCATGTTGGTCAGGCTGGTCTTGAACTCCCGACCTCAGGTGATCTGCCTGCCTCAGCCTCCCAAAGTGCTGGGATTACAGGCATGAGCCACCATGCCTGTCAATGACTACAAGTTTCTAATCCAGAGACTAGGCAGTTAGCAGTGCCTTTTGCCAATGAAGTCTTAGTAGGAAAATAGTGAGTTGTTTGGACATGTCAAGATCATGATTCTCATGAAATCCAATTGGGGGTTTCTAGTTATGTGGTTCAGAAGTGATTGGCTCAGCCGTAGATCTGATCCAACTGTGACAACCTGAAAGCCATACTTAGCAACCCTTCACATTAATAGTAAGTAAAGCAGTTTTTGCAAAAGAATTAGCAAGCAATATATATTTTTTCTAAAAAATTTCAAGTTCAGTACAAAGAACATTTTCCCTCTTAACTATTTCAGAATAAGTTGCTGATATGTCTAGGCTAAATGCAGAAAAAAAGAAGTAAGGCAACTTACTTTTACTCATAAGTGTGAGAGCATTGGAAAGACAGGAGTTTTGGGTCATAAGAGTTGGATAATAAGACAACACTTCAAAGGTGCAGAGTTCCAGGTGAGATAAAATCAACAAGTTACAACAGTATGTTCCTAAATTGCATTGAAGTTGGTCATTTGAATCCATTGAATGAATTTTAACATTCTACTGGGCACTGGAGAGGAAAAGGTAATTGAGATGCAGTTCCTACACTAAAGGAACTTAGAGTAGAGGAAACGGTAATTGAGATGGAGTTCCTACACTAAAGGAACCTAGAGTAGAGGAAATGGTAATTGAGATGCAGTTCCTACACTAAAGGAACTTAGAGTAGAGGAAAAGGTAATTGAGATGGAGTTCCTACACTATAGAAACCTACAGAGTAGAAGGGGGAAATCAAGCAGACACATTATTCAGAGGGAGTACAAAGAAAGTAAGACAGCTTTGTCAAGGTGGAGGGTGGAGGGCAGGTCAAGGAGAGCACCTCAAAGAGGTGGGTAAACCGGATTCTGAATTCTGAATAGGAACTAACCATTCCAAGAGGAGGGGCCATGGAGAGTGGGCTGTAAGGTCAGAGGGAGCAGTATTTATACAGTCTCCAAGGTGACAGAGGTCATAACCTACCAGGGGACTGCAAGTCTTTCAGTATAACAAGATAGCAAGTAAATATAAGGCTGTAAAGCAGGATACCAATCACGAAAGGCCTTGTTGAGTTTGAACTTCATTTTACATAGCCATCTGTGGAAAGTCAGTGTATTTTAAACAGGTGAGGGAGTAAAATGGTTAATACGCATTTTAGAACTTGTTCTGCCTCTACATATTAAAGGAAACAAAACAAACAGAAACCAGTTAGTAAGCTATTGACATAGTCTAGGTAGAAGGTGGTGGATGTGGATGTGGAGAGAAGTAGATTAACTCAAGAGTTCAATATTTAGTAACTGTAGGGCTTGATGGTTAATATGAATATGGGGTAAAGAGGGAATTGAATGATTCCACATTTCTGATATGGGAACTAGATAATTTACTGATTCATAAATGATTTTTGACCGGGCGTTGTGGTACACACTGGGCTTAAGAGAAGCGAACAAGGATAGAGTTTCTGATAACCTCTGCTATTGTGGAGGGTCACTAGGAGAAGTCAGACAGTGGGCACGTAAACTAGTTTTGGATAGTACATGGATGGACCAAGAGTGGTGAGAGTTGGAATATCTGTGAAGCTGTTAAGGTGAAGTCATAGCTGTGGGAGGGCAGGGGCTCTCTTGTTACTGTACTTAACTTGCATTGGTTTAGGGCATTAGCAGTAGGGGAAAGTACAGAATGACAAAAATTTGCCCAGAAACCATAGTTCTTTTTCACTTTCTCAGATCACTTAAACACTTCAGCTGCTGTACCTTAAACTTGGCAAGTTTTTGCCTCCCTTAAACAGGTATCCCAAGATCTGCTGAAGTTTTATTTTAAAAATAAGAGAATCAGTGTTTTACAATGCTTCCAAGAAGTTCATGTGATCAAGAAAACGTACACCTCATCCAAGTCAAGGACCATAGCTTTTCTATATAGTGCTCTACTGATGCACTTATTATAGGTAATATAGTGGTTCCAGGTATTTGGCACCTTTTATAAATAAATGCTTTCATTCAAAAATTATGAGTGAGGGCCAGGTGCGGTGGCTCATGCCTGTAATCCCAGCACTTTGGGATGCCGAGACGGGCTGATCACCTGAGGTCAGGAGTTCAAGACCAGCCTGGCCAACGTGGTGAAACCCCGTCTCTATAAAAATACAAAAATTGGCCCAGCATGATGGTGAGTGCCTGTAATCCCAGCTACTCAGGAGACTGAGGTACGAGAATCGCTTGAGCCTGGGAGGCAGAGGATGCAGTGAGCCAAGATTGCACCTCTGCACTCCAGTCTGGGCAAAAGAGCGAGACTCCATCTCAAAAAAAAAAAAAAAAAAAAAGAAGTGCTTACTTTGATTAAGGCCCTGTATTTCAGGTTACAGAATTTCTTTTAACATCTTAAACTTTATCAACATTGGACGTATCTTTTTAAATGCATGCTTCACCACTTTCTTCCAGAGCATATAGAACAGTTTTGAGTGGATAACTATCCTGACGTAAAGTAAATGTTAGCCTTGAGTGTTATGTTTGAATTGGGTAAGGCTGCTGGCATGTCATCCTTATGTAGCAGGTGCAATATTTGCAGTATTCAGACTTCTAGACCTGGTGCTAACCAAATGTTTCTACATTAAATGGCTTAGTTCTGTTGTGTTTTTAAATGTTTTCTAGCTTCCTTGATCTTAATTTCGCTATTTCTGGTCTGTGTTAAAGCAGGAACCTGATGATCAAAAACTCTTAAGAATCAAACCCTCTCCTTCTAATCACTGTACTTGGACTTCAGTGCCTATATTTTGAGGTTACTATGACTTTTTCTTTTTTTTTGAGACGGAGTCTGGCTCTGTCTCTAGGCTGGAGTGCAGTGGCGTGATCTCATCTCACTGCAACCTCCGAACCCCTGGTTCAAGTGATACTCCTGCCTCAGCCTTCTGAGTAGCTGGGATTACAGGCACGCGCCACCACACCCAGCTAATTTTTGTATTTTTACAAAATTTACAAAATGCAGTTTCACTGTGTTAGCCAGGATAGTCTCGATCTCCTGACCTCGTGATCCGCCCGCCTCGGCCTCCCAAAGTGTTGGGATTACAGGCGTTGACTGTTTTGTTTTTACTCACTCCTCCATACCCCAACCTGTTTCTTGGTAGTTGAGGATCACTATGACTGTTTTTATGTAGGCAGAATTTTTAAGAAAACAACACAAATTCAGGTATTTGTTCCATAAAGGTACTAAAAAGTAAATATATTAAAGGTGATTGTCACATAAGCCTTCCATTTCTACAGGTAGTAACAGTGCCTGTGATTTCACTAGACAAAACTGAACATATAAAAACGTAGTTGGCTACCTGGGAGCCTGAGGCACTTTGTTTACAGATAGTTTCTTAGGGCTAACTCAAAACACATCTAACCAGAACCATGCCATAATCTTGCCAGAGAATCACAATGCATTTAAACATCATAAATAGCCAAATTTCATCTTCCCCATTGAAGATAGCATTTCAGATACAAGTACATGGGCTGGTAATGTTTTTCCTGAAGAGATCGTACTTGTATCAAAGTCAGCCTGTAGCTGATTTAAATTTTAAATACTGATTTAAAGTTTAGCAGCTAGAAATAGAGTCTGAAAAAGATTCAGAAAATTGAGTTATTTTACCCATGAAACACACATCTGCCCTTTTAGAGCAAGCAGCTCTTTATACCTTATGCGAAAACTTAAGAAAAAAAAGTTAGCTTTTCATTTTAAGGTACCATGGATGATTTTAGACAGTTCTCATATCGTCAGAGTTCAAATTGTTATCCTTGGGGATAATTACGCAGGCCAAAAGTGTTTTTTAGAAACATTTAGCAAAAATGTATGAATTACTGCCTTTTCATAATGCAGCCACGACTTTCATTGGAATGTTTGATTATCCTATGATCAACTCACTTATCGCTTCCACAGAATAGTACTGCACAACGTGTAGTATATACACAAGTTCCAGAATGCTTGGAGTTGTACCTCACTTTAGCACTAATTAGCTGTGTAACTTTGAGGAAGTTGTTTAACCTGTGTCTCCATTCCTCTTGAGGATCATAACAGTCTCTTTCTCATGGGGTAAAATAATATATGTGGAACACTCAATAAGATGCATGGCACATACTAAGTACTATAATAAAAGTAATTTAGAGAAACAGAAGATACTTTGTTTAATCTAAGATACCTTGAGGTGAATTTAAAGGTCACATTTTAAACACATTCCTATTGTTTTTCATAAAACTATCACCTCTGTGGTAATCAAATGGTGTTTAAATAATCTATGCTTATGCCTACTTACAATAGGTTGATATAAACAGTAAAAATATTTTCATTCACTACCCAAGCAGTGTCTGTTGAAAGCACTTCAACCAGCCCCTTTATCAGGAGGAAGAATCCAATCTAGGACTAGTTTCTCAATAGATGTACTTTTCCATAGGTTATAAGTAGTTGTAAGTAGGAAAGGTTGGTCTCTCAGGAGCTTTCAGCTTAAAAAATTTTATATTTGTAAACAGAAAGGAAATATTCTTTGGGCAGTGTTTCACAATCACCTGGGATGATCTGAATGAAGATTTCTGGCCTCTGCCGAAGACTTACTGAATCAGAAAGGAGGCAAGATGAGGAGGAATGCTTAAGAATCTGCATTAACAGACTCTACAACTGAATCTTACTACAGAAGCATGGAAACTACTGCCTCAAGGGATTATCTTGAGTTTAAACAGAGGAATTGCTGACTACCTTTAAACATGTAAAAATAGTATCTTTATGGGAGGGATGTTGTTTGGGGGCAGCTACTAAATAGTGAAATCATTCTTTTAAAAATACCCTCTCAAGTCTGCCCCAGTTATCCATTATTCTGGGTAGTCTTGGTATTCAGATGATTTAGGGAAAAAAATAGTAGTAGCAAACTCTGAAAACACTCAGTAAAGTTCATCCTTGGTCTTCTCTTCCTAAATTTGTTTTCAATTGTTAGATTTAAACACTAAACGAGACCAAAAGAGAACTTTATTTTACATGTCTTTATTTTACATTTAGAACCATTTTATGATTTACTTAAAAAAAAATCTGTTTTTAATATTACTAAAAGTATTTTTTAACCAAAATCTTGATTTAGGAAGACTTAAGACATTGTGCATTATTTTAAATATTTTCATTTCAGTAACTATTAAAAATAAATTCACAATTAGGGTTTCAAATGTCCTAATCATACCTAGTTTGTTCTCATTTAATATTTTATCAATCCCATCATGTGCATACAGAGGTTAAGGTGATATATAAGTTTTATATCTTTCAAACACATTGATGCTAATCAGCTCTTGATCTAATTACTATTTCATTTATTCAGAAATAGCATTTAGACATAAAAACCAATGTCTCACTTTGTAAAATAACCTTTGGCTAATTTACACACATCTAATACAGCGTGTTATATAAGTTTTAAGTAATACAATGAGTCACTACTATCATTCAGCTTTAAATATTTTTAGTGTTAACAGGGCTGAGAATATCATGTGGTTCAGTCTTCTGAAGGAAGTTATGTAATAAAAGCATAGTGCCTTTGAACATGAAGACTATCCTCAAGGCCAGAAGTCCTACAAAGGAACTGAGAGATTCCAGAGAATTGCTCTCCTCATTTTTAATATGTAAAGTGACTGTTTTAAGTCACTTCACTGAAGACTTAGTGAAGAAAACAGTGTTATTATGCCACTGAATAAAGCTACTTAAACCAGAGTAATTTTGGGATATTAATCCTAGGCTATATAATTAATGGGTCATCAAAAAAAAAAACCTGTCAGTTATTAGGTGTAAGTTAACTTCCTATGCCAAGTAAGGGGTCACACTTCACTTCCCCCATTTGTAAAAAGAAAAGGTGGCCAGGCCAGTGCCATTTAGGATTCTCTGCTAACTGTAAAATGTGGACTGATTTTCTTCTGTTTCTTATAGTCCAGGTGTATATAAACTTCCAGTTCTTTAAATCAAAATTTTTATGCACATAACCATGTCAGTGTATTGCCCTTAGTTTAAAAATGTACAACTACATAAATAAAAACTATTGTTTCTTCAATATTACTTGACATTTCTTCTGTAATTTCTTTATTTAAAAAAGTAAATGTAACAAGATACTTAAAAAAGGCTAGATACAAAAGTAGTTAAGCTGCTCACGAACATTTAAAATTTTCCAAAATGTATCTTCAATAATCATGATCTTATAAAACATTTTACAGTTATCAGAAAGTGCCCAGGCTGAGTTTACATAACTGAAATACCTTAGTACAAATGTCTAGTTAGACTGAAGTGCAGTAACCTCTTGACTGACTGCTCGTTGAAATAGGGATACAAAGAAAAAGTTGATTGTGATAAAAGTATTGTGCATTGGCCCCATCGTATGTACAAAAAAAGTGCCCTCACTCAAATGAGCAAATTACATGCAAAATATTAGTGATATCATTTAATATCCTAGAGCTCAATGCAGTCAAACCGCAATAAAAGTGGTTTTTGTAGGTAAAAGTGATTTCATCTCTTAAGATCTGAATGTCGAACTTTTTTACAAGTTCCATATACATGATACACAGTTGCAGCCAACCACAAATTAAACACCATAAAAAAAGTTAAAATGAAAACACAGAACATACTTAATTTTTTATTTTGAAATTCCCTATTCCCTCTATACAAGAACCTTTGCTGAAACAGTTTCCACAAAGGCAGCAGTGAATTTTCAGAACATTTACATTTTTTCCCCCTCAGCAAAAAGATAAATCACAGTGTAAATTATGTTGTTCTGCTGTCATCTTTGGCTGGGGTTAGACCCAGAAGTTGGTGACTAGCAAACCAATATAGCCAAATGTTGCTAGTGCTCCTCAGGCCTTTAAGCTATAAACTGAGAAAGGAATGTCTGCATTTTATCTCTTTAAGGTACCACCAGGGGGGTATGACAGCATTAACTTCCATAAACTTTTATAGACAAATGGAAAAAATCTACAAAATTCGCTAGTAATATTACACAGCAATACACACTTTTTATACTCTACACAAAACCAAAATTCTTGGTCTTAATGGCGAGTAACAATTTCTGTTTGAGAATCTGTTTAGAGGAATAGAGTGGGACGTAAAGTCGAGAAATGCAAGTATTTGCAGTAGGAAGATGTTGGTCATCTGGTGGTCTTATTGTGATTGAGGGCATAGGCTGGAATCCTTCTTCACTGGCTGGCAATGATGGGCTTGATGTCCAAAAGTAAACCTAAACAGGAATTTAACAGGTTAATATTTAACTCTTAACTAGCCCTATTGTTATGAAAGGAGATATTAGTTTGAATTGGGTTTTAAATATATTTTCTTATACTAAAAAGGAAAGGGATCATTCATACCTCAAGACAGGTTTTTGTTGTTTTTTTTTTCCCCCAAGGGAGTAAGTCCAGAGTAGAGGGAAAAAAAGGTGACTTTCTGTTACAGAGCCTCAGTATTTTCATCTGTAACATGAGGCTGTTGGACTAAATGGTTTTTAAGAGCCTTTCTTGCAGCTAAATTCCATAAACTGTCTATTAGTGGAAAAAAGGCTACCAAACAAAAGATATGGTCTTAGGTTCAAAACTTACACAGGTTATCTTAAAAAGTTATTTTGCATTAAGGAGCAAAATAATGTAAATAATAAAGCAAAAAAAGTATTTACTGCTACATTGTGATACGGAATCATTTTATAATAGTAATTATTGGGGAACATCTATGCATCAAAATTCATGCAATAAGCCATGTTAACACTAAGTTGTATCATATATCTATAATAAAACTTTGTACAACACAGTGTAAATGATGCTCAGTAAATGTTAACTTACGCTTTTTCACTTAACCAAGGATACGCCTCCCTGAAATATTTCACTGAACATATAACATTCCTCATTAATCCATCCCTTCATATATACATATGCATCAGTGTCTCTCTCTCTCTTAAGGAAAAGCTTTTTTTTAAATCTAATCATTTTAAAACACACAATTTAACAATGAAGTATATCCAACTTCCTAGAATGACTAGGAAACCTAAACAAACTTATGATTTCCTGAAGCACAGTTGCATGGGCAAGCTCATCTAGAATTCTATATAAAGGGACAGAAAAAGAAAAAAGAGAAAACCTAAGTATCAGGATCTATAAAATCTGAAAAGAAATAGAAAACCGGTACTCTGGAGATGAAGCTGATCCAAACCACTCATTTCATAGATAAGAAACAGGCTTAATGTAAAGTGTTTCTTCAAGGATGAATGTGGTTAACCAGGGTAGATGACCTCACTGCTGGATCTCCAAGAAGTTGGAAGAAGAGAAATACTTTTACTAGTGAATTATATGCTCCAAGAGAGAAATAAACTATAGTGTTACCCAGTAACTCTGGAAACCTATAATTTGCAGGACTAACTAATTCATGGGAGAACTGTTTCAGAAACCCCATTCTTATGTCCTCTAGATGCATCAGGATGAAACCAACAATATGTGAAGGATGACTTCCCAAAAAGAGGAGAAGGGTAAGGGGGAGGAAGATACCATGATATATTGCTTACACCCTAAACACAGATTTTCAGTAAGAGTTTAGGGTTCACAAATTAAAGCTGTTGACAGGAAATTCTGAGGTCTTCATAGAAGGTTTTCTTTTTTCTAAGATTGAGTCATTAGCAAATTTTTCTTTCAGTAGAAGGCAGAAACTGTCATGAGATTTAAGTTGTCTGACTGGACTGAGGAAATACTGGTTTAAAAACGGCAGAAAATTAAAACTAGGGAATAGATTAAAACAGATAACTTAGAACTTAAACCGGATAGCCAATCATTTCTATTTCTGTTTTTGGTGGTTCTTACAGACTTGATATGGCCCTTGTCTTAAGGAAACAAGGTGCCCTGAATCTAAAGACTGACTAAAGGTGGCAGAACTTAAGCTATTTAGGTGATCCTGAAACCAACAGGGACAGTTATGGTATATGGCACTAGTGGGAACTTTAAGAGCCACAAGACTGGGGAAGTCAAATGCTGACCAATTATATCAAACCCACCTGGGGAACAAACTAAGTCAAAATTACCAGGGTGGCTAAAAGCTGAGAAATGAACTGGGTGGCAGTTAGGACTGCTGAACAAACCTATCTCACCATAGCAGAGAAATATTAGAATACACTTAAGAGCCATGTAAAGATGAGTTCCCCTCCTTCCCTCCACCACCTCCAAAATAAACTCCTGTCTGAATGAAGGTGAATGGGAATCTGCAAGTTTTTTCTTTCCTGCACAAGTAACCACTTCCCTCTTATTCAAATAAAATAAAGGATATATCTAGAAACCTGATCATTTTAAAGTATTTCCATGAGCGGTCTAGTTTAGAACTAAGGCTGGTTAGACAGGAGAAACGTTCCAGGAACCATGAAGAATACGAGTATAGAAAGGATCTTCCAAGGTTTTCTAGATAAGGAATGTCCTTCAAATTTCTACAAGAAAGCAGCATATTGCCTTTCAAGATTAATGGGCAGGATGATTGGGTTATGGTTTTACTTGATGGGTGGACGTAAGTTCCACTGAGAGGCAGACTTTACACTAAGATCAAAGCTTCTGTTATCTAATTTATGATTCTAAGTTAGCTGGGGCTCTGTACTAAGAACATTCTGAAAGATTTAGTACCCACATATCACAATGAAGCTACTCTCTTCCTAGTGTGCAGATAACAATCAAGATAATACTCAGCAATTCTGTCAACACTTGGCACTAGTCAAAAGGATTAAGGATGTATACAGGGAGAAGCATATGTAGGCAGTACAAGAAAGAAAGATAAAAAGCCATGTTGCAACAATAAACTGTTATCTTCTGGGACTAAGGACAGCATATTAACAGCTAAATGTACTTCACTCTGCTTACAGCTTTAGTAATACTTCAGATATTGTTATAGAGCAGAAAAACAAAAATTGCCTTATTTGTGACCTTCTATAATTGCCCTACCCCAAATTAAAATGACCATTACAAACCTAAAAGGCCATCATACATGGTATTTTTAAATTTTATATTTCCTTCTACAAATCTTGTGAAATAAATTTTAACTTACAAGATCTTGTCGTTCTGTCATGCTCATCTTCTCTACTATTGACCAGAACCAACGCTTGAACTGCAGAAGCTTCTCAGCATTTTCTCCTAAGAATGAAGAATGGAAATAAAATACACTATACCAGTTGTTGTTATTATCTGTAGAACATTACTAATCTTATAATAAAAGGATGCAAGATTAAAACATTATTTAAGACTTGGGGGGGAGTGTCTAATTCCTAATACAGGAAATTAAGAGCATTTGCATAATGCAAAACCTCTACAGTTCATTAGTCAATCCTGACTCAATATGACCAAAACAAGACAAATGAACCACCAGCCTTAAACTTGATATTTGCATGACTTTAATCTCATCTGTATGTCATTATTCTTATGATCTCAAGAAATGCAGATTCTCATTCTTTCACTGGGTGGGGAATGCAGAGAGGGGAGACCAGAGATTCTGCCTGTCTAAAATGCTTTCAGATGATGCCAATGCTGCTGATCCGAGGATCATACTTGGAGTGGCAAGATCTTGGGCAGTTTCTTTCGATACTCTGTCTTCCTTCCTAAATTTTTGGTTTGTAAATGAGACAAATTCTTATTAGTATTAAAAACTGTATTACAAGGTAGCACAAAAACTATTACAATTTATAATTTGGCTGAAGCTGCTTGCAAAATAGGAAAAATAAAGGGGAAAAAATCAGTACCTTTGTGTACATAATAATCTTGGAATATAGGTATAATCCTTTCACAGAGAACTTCTTGGAGCTTCTAATGTACAGTCACAGCTAAAAAGCCTATTCCTAGACCATAGGACTTTCAAAAGAGAGAATTGCAGCAAATCAAACACTGGAGACAAAGGTTTTTCTTTCAAGAGGATTATCACCACCACTCCTTATTCTTCCTAGATTCCTAGAATCTAGGAAGTGTTTGTGTGCTACTGTGTTTTTAGAAGTGCGATTTGGGTCCAGCTCTATAAAGCAATCATCATACAAATTCTTTCATTAGGGAGTTTAAGCAACATGAATC